GTAGCATCGGTCTTGTAACCGCGTGGTGGAATATTAACATTGCCGTTTTAAGCACATTAGTAGGCTTCGGATCCAGTGGGAGTGGTGATAAAATCTAGGCGAGGCCAAAAGTGTAATCCAGGAAGAGTGAAAAGCCTTCGGAGAGGCAAGGCATTATGAAATTCAATGGTATCGTGAGGCCTACAAATTTAATTTTGGAGAAACTCAACAATCAGTCCTTATATTATTTCAAGAGTTAAATTGACGTGGAAAGACGATTGTACAAAGATGCAAGAAAGTTTCATCATATTGTGATAGCACATAACGACGAGACGCCAGAGTAAATCAAGATAAATAGTTAAAATGGGAAGACCAAGATGTTGTGACCTCTGGTACGGTCGTAGTCTCCTTTCGATTTATAGAAGTGGGTTGACCTCGTTGTCGCAACTTGGTCTTATTGTCAGTTCGACTGTGTAGAACGCACCTAGTCCGAAGTCGTCTGCCATAGTATTTGTCATGATTTCTAGCATCAGACAGTGGACTTGATACATTCTCAAACGTTTCGCCGGCATCATAAGTGAGTTTTGCCATTCGTGGGATGTAAAAAAGTCATAAGTTGTGATAGGGCGACAGTATGATAAGAGGGAAAAGAGTAGCTAGACAGGACAGAAAGAGGAGTGATAGTGTAACTGTTTTCGGCAGAACGTTTGTCGAGGGATTGACTTGACTTGTCTGACGAATTCGTAGCATGGTGCGGAGAATGGCAAAACTCACTGATGATGCCGGCGAAAGGTTTGAGAATGTACCAAGTCCACTGTCTGATGTTGGGAATCATGACAATATGGCAGACGACTTCAAACTAGGTGCGTTCTACTAAGTTGCCATGACAGCAAGACCAAGTTGCGACGAGGTCAACCCACTACTTGAATTCCCTTGAATACAATGGCTTAAGTCATTGTTGCCAGGCTTTGAAGCTATTAGTACATCTACAGGTCTGATACAATTGCCTAATTTATATCTCTTTAAAAACCTATTCAACTACCCAAAATCATCAAATAGCTGAAAAAATTGGAAACCCAATAAAACTGTTTTTTTAAAAACAAGTAAAATGTCTTATTAGGACAGTAAAATAGGTGCTCAAATAATAAGCATAAGAGATAATTGAAGTAGGTTACGGGACTGAGTAATTCTTGAATAAGAGCTGTCAATCAAGGTCGACTAAAGTGACATAACGACCGATAGTTGAATTTTCCCACGAGATAGGTAGGCGTAAAAATGCCATTGGATTTCCCCTAGCCTGGCCAACAAAAATGCTACCTCACTTAAGGTACATTGCAGTTTGAACCTTCCCTCATAGATGTCGTTAACAGTCCCAAAGGAATTAGAAAAAGAGATGTACCTTAGAGAGAATATCATTCCAAAGCCAGGATGCCGATGGATAAGAAGGCAGCTATGAAATTAAAGATAAGTCAGACCTCGCCCAGATCACATTTAGTGCGATCATATGGTGGTAATGCCGCTAAGATACTTACGATTTAATATAAAATCCCATTGAGGGTGCTGATGCTAAGCGAGGTCGAAGTTTTTATAAAACCTGAATAAGACTATTTTTGGGAGACCAAACCAAATGAAATTTAAAGCAATTATAGAGCCTACCTATTTGCTATCAATTCCAAAATAACCTCAAGTGGACTAAGGTGACTAAGTTCTTATCCAAGAATTAATGATACTATCTAAAACTGCGTAGCCCTCCATAAAATACAAATCTTTACAAATATCAGCTCCTTAACTACAGACATGACCCGGAGTTTTATAATGGGAGGCAGAGCAAAAATAATCCATTTGGGAGAGCTCACTAAAAAAACTAACAAATTTCGGCTAGGATCTGAAGATCTTCAATTGCAAGACAATTGCTTAGATGAAATATGAATTTTAAAGAGGATCAAATAAAGACTTGATTTTTCAGTTTGCCCCGCTCTATTATGGAAGAGCAGTCTTGATGTGATTGCATAAGTACAATGGCAAAATCAAATCGATACATTCTGCGTAATACAAGCAGCGGTAAGTTTTTATTCTTGATGCATGATGCTAAAGAATATATGCCAGTAGTCTTATATTTGTATTAGTAACTTTTTATCACTCAATTTTTCTATTATACATTAATCCCAAAATTTACAAGAAAATTAAATCAGTAGAGAATTGGAGAACATTGCTACCTAGGCAAAATAGATTTAAGAAGCTTGATTAAGTAAAAAAAATTGTTCCAGACAAAGCTGTATGCGCATCCTGGCACCGATAAGAAATTTAAGAGCAAAAGGTAGAATAACTATATGTTTATCCAAAGAAAGTAGGCTTTTGATAGGCCTAATGCATTAAGGCAAAAGTAGATAATTATTTAAAGCAAAAACCAAATTAGTTTTATTATTTGGTGAACACGATAGGATTATGCCTAGATGAGAGAAGAGGTGTAGAGTAGTGAGTATTTTAGGAGAGACTTTTACATCTGATTTCGGCAGAAAAGGAGCCTGAAGAGTAGTAAACCCGAAGTGTCTCTCCAGCAATGACAAAAATGGAAATTTAATCTGGAAAATCAAAGGTTCATCTAAGATTCATAGAGAGTGATCTTAAAAAAAATAAACCGTGATATCAATGAAACACCACTTCTAGCCATGCTTTATAAAAAAAAGAGGATCTTGACAAGCTGAAGACATGAAAATCCTTGGATATCTACAGAGACCGAAGAACAAATGAAAGGCTTGTGGCTAGGAGGAAGACGAGGAAGGAAGAGAAATGGATGGTTTGTTGGCCAAGTGACGCCATTAGCTCCTGCTTCCTTCAGGATTAGCAGCCCCAATAACAGATGGACGAATGAGAAATGTATCCATCCTCGCTGCCTGAGCAGCTGCCCGCTGTCTTGCCTTAACAACAGCAGGTCCTGGGCCCGACTGTTGCCCAGGCTTGCGCAATAAAGTTCCAAGGCCACTGGGTTTCGGAGCAGAGACATAAGAGGTAGAGCCGAGGCCATTGTAGATGGGAGCAGCAGAAGTCGAGGGAAGACATGCAGCTGCCAGGTCAAGAGGACCCGCAGCACCAGAGTTAAGTAAATGCCGACGCATAATAGACATAGTAAGTAAGCTAGAGGCGCGCCGAGGTACAAGGACAGGACCATTACTGCCGCTAATTCTGGATGATGTGGAGATTGATACAGCAGGAGTCTGGGAGACTGAATCCGAAGATATAAGGGTCTTAAGTTCAGGAAGGTCCAGGGGAAAGTTAGCTCCTTTGTCACCAGTTATAAGCTCGTCTTTTGTACTGTTGAGAGTCAAATTCATTACAGGCTAGAAGGCAAATGATGGGGGAACAAGTGAAATAAGTATTAATATGAGGAGAAACTGGGCTTCAATGAATCTCTTGAGATAATATTATTAGAGAGACTTTCAGTTCGTAGGAAAGTTAATGAAGAAGATTGGTTGATCGATTTTACCAGATGAGGACGGATGAATCTCGTTGTACAGCAGCCGTTTGGCTTTTATATAATATTCATGTTAACGCAGTCCGCAAGACTTTCTCCCTCGTTTCGGGTGAAAAAGAGCTGAGCTTTCGTGCATCATATGAGCTGGGTTTCATTCTTGTAAGAGTTTACGTTAACACTAGGCCAAGAAAACTATCCGGCCCTATCATAATTCTTATATAAACTCAATTGAGCCAAAATATAATTTAAAAAACCTAAATAGTTCGATATAAAGTGGTTTGGTTAATTTTCTTTCATGATGAGTATGTGCATTTGTGTGTTAGCGATTGGCAGAACTACGCGCCGGCTACACGATAAAAAGCTCCGGAATTTAGGAATTAGAATAGTCAAGAAACTTTGCGCCTAAGATAAATCTTACTAACCATGGTTGTAACAAATTGGTGAAGAATAAGGTAATCAATTTATCTGGTACAACTCTGGAGGATAGTATAGTACTGTTATTTGAAAGAGGATTGAATTTTTCTTTTCCAAGTAAGGTAAAACATCCTCTGGAAATACTTATTGAATTAATTAGATTATCCGATAGATTGACTGA